AGTAACACACGTTGCTCAACATCTTGCTTTTTTCACCTAACCATGTATCTCAGAGACTGATATTGATTGGTTGATAACCGTGTATCTCAGAAATACGCACATGTATAGATCTACTTCATTCTTTGTAAGAGCTGCATAGTTTTCCACTGTAAGGTTGTACCAATATGGTTTATTTTTTATTCTTTTTATTTTACAGAGAGAGAGAGCAGGAGGGAGGGGCGGGGGAGAGGGAGAGAATCTTAAGCAGGATCCACTCTCAGTGCAGAGCCCAACACAGGGCTCGATCCCACCACCCTGGGATCATGACCTGAGCCGAACCAAGAGTTGGACGTTCAACCAACTAAGCCACCCAGGTGCTCCCAGTATGCATTTAATTAGTCTCTTACTAATGGACATTCAGATTGTTTTTCAAACCATGCTGTAATTAATAACTTTGTTCAGTTGCCGTTGCACACATGTGCAAATATTCTGGTAGAACATATTCTTAGGGAATTTCTGTGTTAGAGTAGCTATATTTTAGACTTTTGACGGAGTGTAGTATAGTAGAACACCGCCTGGAGCCAAGTGTTGGCTCTGCCACTACCAGTTGGGTGAACGTGGACAAGTCCCTTAGCCACTCTGGGCACAGTTTTCCCCATCTGTCGTAGTACCTTCCTCATAGGGTTGCTGTGAAAATTGAATGAGTTAATACACATAAAACTGCTTAGAAGAGCACCTGGTGTGCAATATACACATAGCACTGGCCTTTAGTATATTACACTGATTATTTAGTCAAATTGCCTTCAAAGAGGCTAAGAATTTTTATTCCCACCATCATGTCTTATTTCCCTCACCCTCACTCCCCAACATTGCTTCTTTTCAAACTTTTTGAAGTTTGTTAAGCCGATGGGTAAAAAGGGTACCCTTTTACCCATCCTCGTGATTTTAATTTTCATCGGATAAGCTCAGTTGCTGAATTCAGTGAGCTTCATGGCTCCTATTCCTACTGAACCTCCTTGGAGCATGTGACATTTGCATTTGAAGACCAGACCTGTTAGGTTGTCCCTTTCTCCTTGGCAAGTCTTCTCTACTGCTTCCCAGAACACTGCACTCTACTCCTTTGGTTTTCCACCTGCCTTTCTAACTGGTCTTTTACTGGTTCCTCTTCCTCCTTCTCTCCTGCCATGGCTCTCAAGATCTTCTCAACATGGCTTCACCTACTTTTCTGGCCTTATTTCCTATTCTTATTTCTTTTAAATACATCACCTACTTATTCTCTGAACCCTTGTATAAGCTCTCCTGCCTCTGTCTCTGCTTATGTTCAGACTGGAATTCTGTCACTTCTTGGCTTGCCATGTGAAATGCAGGACACCCTGTTAAATTTGAATTTCAGATAAGCGACTGTTTCTAGTGATCTTATTGTTTATCTGAAATACAAATTCAACTGGGTATCTTATTTTGTTGCTAAATCTGGCAAGCCTATCCCCAGTACTTTGTACCCTAATGCGGTTAATACATCATTGTTACTTGTGTTCATACAAGAATGAAAGCCCTGACCAGGCGAGGGTTGGGTCTTTCCTTTGTATTGTGTGTAGGGCTGAGCACACGGTAGTTCCTCAGGAAATATTTGCTGAATTCAGTGCTACACATTTTCTTTTATTTGGGTATGGGAAAACTCCTTCCTCTCATTCCTTATTTCACTCCCACTTCCAGCTGCTGTTCTTGAAGATTCTGAGTAACTATATATTAGTTACCTAATCCAAACCCTCTTAGTTTATCTATAATTTTATCTGTATATATTGACACCAGTTTAAATGGATTAATTGAAATATGAAAAGGTAGTCTAGCATGGTAGCCGATGTCTCAACAGATTTAAGCCTTGGCTTCCCCACTGACTAAGCGTACAATATTAATCCACTTTTTTTCATTTATAAAATAGTAATGAGAAGTGTCTTACTATAGGCACTTGTGATTTAATCAGATGATATCCAGGCCAGGCACTTGGTATATAGTTAGGGCTCAATATATGTTAGCTATTATGGCATTGAATATTGAAGACTTTTCATTTAAAGACTCATTCATTTGGTCCCAAAATGTGGAGGTCTTTTGACAGTAGGTCTTTTTGCTTTATTTATTGAGGTATAATTGACATATAACATTAGTTTCAGGTATACAACACAATGATTCAATATTTGTAGATACTGTGAAAGAATCACAATACGTCTAGTTAACATCTGTCACCATAGTTACAAAAATGTTTTCCTTGTGATAAGACCTTTTAAGATCTACTCTTTTAACAACTTTCAAATATGCATCGTGTTTTTATGTGCATGAGCAGGGGACTGTTGCCAATGATGGGAATAGAAATGGGTAAAATGGGTGTGGTCCCTGTTCTCACAGATCTTACAGTCTAGCATGAGCAATAACCACAGAGTTAGAAAAAAAAACAACCCACAAATATGTAATTACAATCCATGAACGATTCCACAAAGTTAAACACTGGGGGCTATAAGAATTTACAAAAGGGGTCCTGACCTAGTTCAAAGAAAGCTTCCTTGAAATAATACCTGACATTTAACGAATACTCAGCATACACCAGTGTATTTGATTGCTGGGGCTACCGTAACAAAGCACCACAAACTGAGTGGCTTAAACAACAGAAACCTATTTTCTCACCATTTTTGAGGCTAGAGGTCTGAGATCAAGTACAGGCAGGGTTGGTTTCTTCTGAGACCTTTCTCCTTGAGTTATAGCCATCTTCTCCCTGTGTTTTCACAAAGTTTTCCTCTGTACCTGTCTACATCCATATTTCCTCTTCTTATAAGGACACCCATCGTGTCGGATTAGGGCCCACTCTAATGACCTCATTTTAAATTTTTTTTTTTCAACGTTTATTTATTTTTGGGACAGAGAGAGACAGAGCATGAATGGGGGAGGGGCAGAGAGAGAGGGAGACACAGAATCGGAAACAGGCTCCAGGCTCCGAGCCATCAGCCCAGAGCCTGACGCGGGGCTCGAACTCACGGACCGCGAGATAATGACCTCATTTTAACTTAATTATCTTTTCAAAGACCCTATCTCTAAATATGATCACATCCTGACATCTTGGGGATGTGGACTTCAACATATGAATTTTGGGGGGCACACAATTGAGCCCATAACAGCCAGGTACTAATCTATAGTCCTTACTTGAGTTATTTTACAGCCATCTTATCCTTGTTATTTTCTACATTAAACTGATGTACAGAGAGGTTAAACCTTGCCTAAGGTCATACAATACCTAGAAATCAACAGAACTGGGGCTTAAACCCTGATGACCACTCACTAAAGGCTTATGATGCTGAAGGATGAGTTAGAGCTGGCCCAGCAGTTTAGAGGGAACATACTAGGCAGAGGGAGAAAGGGGGAAAGGACCTGGAGTGGAAGAGAGCCTGGCACATACGAAGAAGTGAAAAAGTAGAGCTGATGATGTTACAGAAGTGGGCCAGGGCAAATCATGGCAGTCCTTACAAGCCACAGTTAGGATTAAAATTTTGGTCTTTATCCTAAGAACAATCAGAATCTAACACTGAAAGAGGATTCTACCTGTTGAATAGAGAAAATCACTTGAAGGAAGTTCAAAAATCTTAGTTTTCATTTTTTACACTTGAGGCCCCTGAGGTCTGCTAGTTTTTTCAGTACATTACACTCAAGCTTCTACCTAATCTACTGAAAGTAGGCGGGCATGTATTTGAAAGGAATGCATAGCATAGGTGAGCTGTATGCTATGCTGGGCTCCCCAGAGGGAATAGGGGAATTGAAAATTCCAGGTCTGTCATCAGAGGAAGACTTCATCTTGGTCTGTTGTTTGGGCAACCTTAAACGGAAAAACGTAGTCAGGGCCACAACTCAGCATTAAAACTTCAGTTGTAAAGAATAAGACCAGCTTTGCCTAATATTTTTAAACATCTGTATTGATATATAATTGGAAAATTCACCTGTTCTGAGTGTACAGTGACTTTCAGTAAACTTACAATCATCACCACAATCCAGTTTTGGAATGGGCTTTCCATCACACTGAAAATATCTGCCCTGTTAGCTGGCAGCCAGTCTTGGCCTATTCCCACCCCAGGTCTAATTAGCGTTATTTTACTGAATGAGACTTTACAGGCCCCAGATACTCTTAAAAGGAACCCAAGACTGGACTCCAAATTAATATGATATGGGCCATGTATGTTTCGTTAGTGCGCAAGTATGTTCAGACTGGGACTGTATGTAAAGAGTTCCTTCATTTATCCACTACATGGAGCTTATTATCTAGATGGGGCAAAAGCACCAAGCCTGTGTCTCTATACACGAACGACATGCATGCATCTGCGCAGGAGGTGAGCACACACCATGTGCCAGGATGTGATGAGTAATGTGTACACGAGAGGACTAGTCGGTGCCATGTGCGCCTGCGCAATTTCGCGAGCGCCTAGAAACCGGTAACTGAAACCCCCTGCCCGAGATCCGTCGGCTCAGCTGCTGGGGCCCTGCCGTTTCGGACCTGAGCGCCCACCCGTGACACCCAGAGAACCCAGGCCTGGTAGGTAACCCCCCACCCCCTCACCTTCCCTACTCAGAGGTCACAAGAAACACCAAGATGGTCAGGTCGCGAGCCCCGGCCTCCAGGGAAGTGGATCTTTCCCTTGGCCACACCCCTCACTTTACTAGGCCGCGTCTCCTTGGTCCGTGAAGGGCCTAGTCCCGCCCCTTCGAGCCGACGCCAGCAGCCACGTACCACGTTTCTACGTGTCTGGAGCCTAAAGGCGGAAGTTACGCCAGGGACTCGAGAGCTGAGCGGCGGACCTAAAAGAATATAGGCCGCAAGAGGAAAGGGGGCGGGCAGACGGCATTGGAAGGCGCCGGAAGTGGTCGTGCTGAGGAGGGGTGGGAGAGGGGTGGGCCAGGCAGTTCACTTGGCTGTAGCTGGGCGCCTCGGTAAGGCGTACTTTCACTTCTTTCCGAGAGCCTGGCCCAGTGTCTCCGCCTCTGTCAACATGGATTTCAGGGAAATTCTCCTGATAGCTTCCAAAGGACAAGGTGTCAACAACGTGCCGGTAAGTACCAGCCGGGCACCAGTGTAGGAGACCCTAATCTTCAAGTTTGGAATTTCTGGCCCGTGGAACTTCCAGGCATCCGCCTATCGACTCCGGGAGAGGGAAGACCTGGACGCCTTGTTTGCTTTTCTTGGGCGTGCATTCTTGGGGAATGGGTGAAAAGGGGCTTGAGGTGCGAAGTGGCAGCCTTCCGGCGAGTAGGTTTCTCCGGCTTAGTCACCCCTGCAACGTGGACTTTGCAGTGCGGGTGTTTTAGAGTTGTGTGAAGGCTGGTGAGTGAAACCGTGCCTGGTACATGGTGGAATCCAGCGCTAGTAGTTTCTGGCTTTGGCATAAACTTCAGCCCAAAGGATGGAAAGAAAACGTGTACGTTGGGGAGTTTCAGGGGTTTTCGGGATGTGGTCTGATAGCCTTTTGGGTGAGTTCCCGCCTAAGATGGGGTCAAACATTGTGTGATTTCTCGAACAAGTTCTCTGATGAGATGACTAAATTAAAACCTCCCAAAGATTTAATAATACCTTATGTATTGGGAAGAGAAGTTGAGCAGATTCCACGAAATCCTTGGCCAACAGAATGGGTAAGTTATTCAACTTCCGTTTACTTGTGGCCTTCCAGGTTTGCCTTTGTTTAAAATCTATGTCCCATTTGCTCAGTAATTTTGCGAATTCGCCCGTATTCGCAGAGCGATGTAAGACTTTTAAAATCTACACGCTGAAGTGGTGGAGAGTGCCTAGTCTGCGGGGTGTAGCTGTTTTGCATAAACTAATCATTTCTGGATCCTCAGATGGTACCCACAGCACAGCTGTAAACCGACAAATTGCATTGTGATACTTGCGGTTTGAGCAGTGAGGTATAGACCTCGAACAGCTCTCTGTCAAAGTCAGTTCAACTGGAATTTATTGAGCTCTCACTATGCGTTCAGCATTTCTTAGATTTTTGTGTATTTGCAGTGTTTTGTTTTGTTTTTCCCACTTCTACACTTTTCTTGTCTTCTGAGTCTGGCCCATTCTTTTACCCTTTGAAAATATTGATTTGAAGATAGTAAAACAATTGGTAAATGAAACTGATATCTATCAGTTTAATATTTATTAAATTCCCATATATTCATCTTTCATCCCAAGTACGCTGAATAATCATTCCCCCTAAGCCATGAGCCCGAAGATCTGTATGTTGAACTTATGGGCTTAAACCACTGAAACCTTGAACAACCAAATTTATTTTCTTCAAATTATGTAAATTTCCTAGACAGGTCAATATTGGATCCCGTAACCATTCATCTTTGCATAATTAGGTCCATATTTTATTCTAGATCTTCCTGAATTTCAGTGGAGGTCAAAAATAGGTAATACTAGCTTTGATACCCAGTAATATTCTGAGGGAGAATCAGAACCAAGTTATTCTAAAAACCAGATATTACTAGAGCAGAAGATTTCAAAATCTGTGTATGTTTTAGAATATGTACATTATCAACAAATCTATTAAATAACAAAGATTGGAAGCAGAAAAGAAAGGTGAATTGGTGAGATCATTTAAAATTTAATAAACGAATATAGGCATATATTTTATGAAAGCATACTTTCCCCTCCCCACCCTCAACCCCCACAAAAAACTAGAAAGCCTAGAAGTTTGATTTAGTTAGCATTATAATCCTTTTCTTTTTACATTAGATGAATGTGTCACAAAAGAAACTATTGAGAAACAGCAAGACAGTTGAATTTAATCCATGATCTTGCTTTCACTTGGTTTATCTAATTATTCTGTTACTTTGCTTTATCAGCTCAAAGTAAATAAAGCCTCTGAGAGCACACCATCAATTGTGAAATATATATTGTACAGTGTAATAAACTGTGGCAAAGCAGGTATCCTTGTAAACCATCAAGTCAAGAAACAACAACTCAGTCATACACATGCACCCCATGTTTGACATAAGCTGTATTGACTGAATGATGGTCTGAGAACCACAGAGGCTTTGCATCCCACTCTGGTGCTTGGTTCATATTTTCCTTTTAGCCATCTTCTTCCCCACCTTCCATTTCAGTCTTATCAGAGCTGATGTTGAGATTTCGGTCTTCATTGTTCCTATGTCAGACTTTGCTACAGAAAGGAGCTATGGTGACTAGCACTGATTAACTCCAAGGAAGGGTAAAATATAAAACACCTGGACAGCCACTTTGAATTTTTATTTATTTATTTTTGAGAGAGAGAGAGAGAGAGAGAGAGAGAGAGAGAGAGAGAGAGAGAATCCCAAGCAGGCTCTGCACTCTCAGTGCAGAGCCCGACACGGGGCTCATCTCAAAACTGTGAGATCGTGACCTGACCCAACATCAGGAGTTGACACTTAACCAGCTGACCCCAGGTGCCCCTCCAGGGCTTCACTTTTAAGAGGTATCTATTGTGTCTGGTTTGAGAAGCAATGAACATTTCTGTAATGGAAACTCTATTCTGTTGTTTCTTTTCAGGAGAAATAGTTATTTTTATAATGTTTTATTAAAACAAAGGAAGGATTGCATCATGCCTAGCAATATTAGGCATGCTATCATTTCCCAGTGGAAAACTGAATTTAAAAAACAGCTGATCAAGGTGATGTAACCAGTTATCGTCGCAAGCTCTGTTTATATTTAAAGGAGAAAAGATATTTTTGGTAACCTCGCACTTGTACTTAAAAGTTTTCTCCCTGGTTCCTCTAGCGAAAACCAAGTATCTTGATTTGATAGAATGGTAGAGCTTAGAATATGGGTTCTTGTAGGTTGTAAGTAACTAATTGATGACTTACGTGGCTTTCTCACAGTCATACTGTGAAAATCATCCCGGAGAGATGCTGTCGCTCTGGTGTGATCGTCAAATCAAAAAGTAAAGACGAAGCATTTATGTGGTACTAAACATATGAGGATTTGGGGGCTATAGCCCCTTGAGGATAAGAATGTCGGTACTGGAAAAGGGGCTCAGGGACTTTAACTGGGGTGGCAAGTTCAGATGTCCTGAGGGCCAGGTAGATAATGTAAGTTCTTAAAGTAGCCTGGATATAAAATGATAATAATGGAAGCTCTTGAAGTTGTCTAGATATAAAATAATAGGTGTCAAGCTCTGCATTCAAAAGAAGCCTACTGTGTGCTACAGTAGTTATATTTCCTTTGAAAGAACAGTATGGGCCAACAAAAACGTTTCTGCAATCACTTTGCAACTTTTGATTTATTGGCTGTAACTGGATTGCTCCCATGCTTGGATCTGAAGAGGAGTTTGCCAGGGTCTGAAGTAGCTCTGAATTGCTAGCCTGGGGGGGTAGTACTATTTAACCAGTGTTGGAAGGAGAGGGTCTTTTAGTAACTCTACCACCAGAGATTGTTATTTTTCTTCCCATCACTACCTAAGAGAATCTCTTTCTGAATAATAATGATAACAACAACAACTGCCATTTATAATGCTTACTTGGTGCCAGGCACTGTTCTAACCACTTTGTGTACATTGATTAATTCAATCACTGTGATGACCATATAGGGAAGGTTGTTTCATGGATAAGGAAACTGAGGCCTAGAGAGATGAGGAAACTTGTCTGAAGTCATTCAGCCAAAAAGTGACAGGGCTAGTAACGGTAGAGCAGAGAATTTTATACAGGCTAACTGGCTCCGGAGTTCTTGCTCTTAATCATGACCCTGTGCTAAGTGAAGAGTCTATTGGATATGAGGACGGTTGTTCATTTAATAAAGCCTGAACCCATCCAGCTTCCTACCCTCAACTCCAGCCCAATATAATATAGCCTTAGGCAATAACTGTTGGTTTTTATGGCACTTGTCAATGTACAGTAAAGTCTGATGGGAGAGAAATTTAAAGGGCAAACCAACAGCATTTGGAAATTGGTGGGTAGAGAGAGACTTACAGCCTGTGGTGGGAGAGTGCCAGTATGGTTGACAGAAATAGTCTGAGGGTGAGGGTGGATAAGATAGAAAGTTAAGTGGTGGACCTATTGGAGGTCATGGCACCATCCAAGAGGCAGATGGAAATTTGGGAAGGGTGTTTAAGATTGAGGTTAGAGGGGCACCTGGGTGGCTCAGTCAGTTAAACATTTGACTCTTGGTTTCGGCTCAGGCCATGATCTCACAGTTCATGGGTTCGGCCCTGTGTCTGTCTCTGGGCTGACAGTGCAGAGCCTGCCTGGGATTCTCTCTGTACCCCCTCTCCCCCCCCCCCACATCCCCCTACTCGCTCGCTCTCTCTCTCAAAGTAAACATAAAAATTGAGGTTAGAGCTGGATGAAAGTGTTGGGATTAACGTAGAAGTGAGACATATAGTGGGAATACTCTTGGACCTGAGTCAGGAGACTTAGATTCTAATTCACACTCTGTTACAAATTGTGAGTGACAACCAGTTAATACACACTTGTGCTTTTTGGGCCACTTCTAACATAGAGGTTGGGCTAGGGACTCTGAGGTACCTATCTGATACTACATTTTATAATCAGGTATATTTTTATAAACACAATAATAGTAAATTTACATTTGACCCTATAGCAATCCTGAATAGCGTGCTTTTTGACTGTTTTATTTTCATTCTCTTAACCACCCAGCTAAGCAAGCCTAATGCAAACCATTCATTTTCCAGGCCTGCATTTATTCCCTATGATGTTTTGTGAAATTGTATAGTATTATTAAACTCAAAGATATATTCTTTGAATATTCCTAACTCTAATAATAAGTCTCTAATATGTATAAAGCCATCAGGAAATTTATATTTTCTACAATTACAACAATATGTTGTTCTCTCCTGAGTAAAGAACAACTTTCAAGAAGGGATTGACTATTGATTCCAATGTAACGTATTTGGTTAACACATATTTCCAGAACAGAAAACTCCTCATTTTCCTTATCTGACCATGACAGTATAATTCCAATGCAAGGAACACATATGTCTTAAAGTGAGTTAATGTTTTCTAGGTCTGTTGGCTTCAGAATTACAAATCTTGGCAAAATCTCTGATACTGTATTTAAATGGCATAAGCTTCACTG